TGCGCAGTCTTGAAGAGGCCCTCAACATCAGTGCTGTATTCTGCTCAGCTTTCCACTGTTGAAAGGCCAATGAAGAAAAAATATATCGGTAACATTAAAATAGCAGATAAGTGAAAATAGATCAATTGATGTACTTAATCCTTGAATAAAACTGCATTTAGACGGTTATAAACAATTTATAAATATTTATTTCAATTCATACCAAATATTTTCATAAATAATAAGAAAACAATCAGCCAGTTTGAAATTTGTTTTAATGGCGGAGGACAATTTAAAACCATACAATTTGTGTTTTTATAAAGAAAACGTGAGTTTTATCAAACTTAGTTCCCGGTAAAAACTGAATCATTGATGTTAGGGAAAGTTTTGTCAATTAATAAACCTAATTGGTATAATTGGGTTGTAATGACATATTAATCAAGCCTATACCTTAAACATTCAACCTAAGAACAGTGGCCTAAATGGTACGTAGTTTTATAGTTGAACATGTTTAACTATTAGTTGTTGTTAAACAACATATATTGGTGTTCCCCATGTTGTTCTGGTTAAAATATTTTGTTGCATTCTAACGAAACAGTATTTGTAAACGTTGACTTTACGAATATTTAATCATCGCTTCGAGCTGGTTATGTTACATCATAAAAAGTCAAGTATCACTGTTAATTTGTGGTAAGAGAAATGCTTGATTCAAACATAAAACTTCTTAAGAAAATGCTAAATTACGAGAGCCATACAGATTATATATAACGTTGCACTTGAGCTTAAAAATGTATGGAAATTTAGTAAAATCCATCCTCGAAGAGTTTCGACGTTGGACAATTTTAAAAAAAATTTATAGAAGTGGTTTGTTGATTGTAATACGAATTAAAGTAATTAGGACATTACCGTTTGGAAGCACATTCATGTTTCAAAATTTACATGTTTAATAGAGTTTGACCTTTAGATAGTTTCACCAGATGTTGGAGTTACACTTCATTTAAGCTCAAAGTGTAAACCACTGAATTCGGGGAGAAAAGCGGATAACCGCAGCTAATATACACGACCAAACAAACCCATCCGTTCATCCGTGCGTGGTACACGGCGTTGCTTTTAGTCATTTTCATCAAAACTGAAATCAAATTTAAACTGTTTGTCGATAATAGTGTGTATATCTAAAAGTAAAAGGCCTATCAACTTAATTGTTATTAGATTTTGGCTGCATCCTTGAAATATTGAAGAATTTAGTTTTACAAGTTTGTAATCATATTTTTTTCAAATAATACTGGTTATATGGTAGTATGGGAGATATTTGATGTAGGCTAAATATTTGAAAAGCAGGGACATACAGTACATTATTAAGATTTTTTAGTAATCATACGCACAGTGTTCATAATAATCATTATGTTCAAATGAATATGATATACTATGAGCATGTTTCTCGTCTCATTGTGAAATATAACTCGTTAACTTTTTTGTAGTAAGTTTTATTTTGAATTTCCAGAAAGCGCAGCTTCGCATGCCTAAATGTATGTATATTATAAGGTCCCAACGCCAGAACGAACCTTTGCAAAGGCTGGTCTGGACCTGGCGTTTTAATATTTACCGAGTTAAAATCACTTGTTTTCTGACCCGAGTATCCTACAAAATCGATTTATTGAGCTAAGAACAAATAAAATGGAAATATGAAACAAAATAAATATTTGTTTGCTTATTCCATCTATACTTGTTGACTAATATACAATCAATATTTGCATTTCAAAGTTTTTGTTTTCTAATATTCTTAATTTTCTTCATTACTTTTTTATTTTGATGCATTGTTGTGTTTTATGAACAGACAAACACAATACTCCAACTTTGACTCCCCTAAGTTAATAAACAAGCAACCCAATTTTCTTCTGTTTGCTAACACACTCAATAACACACACCAACACACACAAACACACACATACACGTGTACGTTTGTTCTCTTTGGCCACGACGTTGCTTTGATCAAACAACTTGTCTCTTCATTTTGATCCAAACACACATTGACTTACCCTCCCAATCTCGATAGACGTTGGTCAAAACCATAAATGGAATACTGAAAAGGGGGTTGGCTTATTCCATCTATACTCGTTGACTTTAATATTCTATAAATTTCGTCCAACGCGTCCATTTGACCTCTTAAGTACTTATTTATCAATCCGAATGTTACCTGCTATGGAAAAGAAAATCTACATGGACAATCGTGAAATGAGGAATATAATATGTGGATCATAGTCTTAGTTAAACAAACAAACCTAAACTCATGCCTTAGTATAGATGTCATAAAATATATTTTTCACCACTGCATGGGAATAATCACATTGCCACCCATGTATACAGTACAACAAATTTCTCATCTATGTTTATTCGTTCTCGCTCACTAAATCAGCTGACTTCGACTTCACTGTTGATGTTTATAAAAAACATTAACATCCGGTAAGAAAATAACATAACCTAAAAATATTAAACGACCTAAATGACATTTCATATACGATTAAAAGTAAATCTGTGTGTTATAATAAGTTAATAATAGTGATAGGGAAAATCTTGTGTGTATTATGACCACAAACAGTCATTGCCAATCTTTATACGGAAATATATATTTTATAGTATAGTGGAATTGAAATGTTTCGAACTGAAACAAAATAAATACGGATTATGAGGGACTTTTGAATGGGCGATAATTAATCAGTTTCACATAAATAAATATTTGTTGTAAGCGATCTTTTCTATGTCATACTATTTCTGCATTAATATTTATTTTATACCTTAATTCTAACAAACAAGAGTCTTAACTCAAATTTAATTACATTCTGTTACAGTTACTTGGTATATCAATTTTCCCTGATTACAGTAGGTTATAATGAGTTTTACCGATCACAAGCATAGCACTTCCAGATGAGAGCAAGTACAGTTCAGTCTAGTCAGACCCTTTAAGATCAAAGGATGGTAATATCAAACTATTTGAGAAACAAAACTTGATGCAGCTCTACGCCAAACTTGTTGTTTGTTCGTGCGTAATTAATTGTAAAAGCATCAAAGTGTAGTGAGCAAGTCTGCACAATATTGTTCAAGAAGCTATTGCCAACGGTGTCGGTCTAAAGATACTCCAAACTTACTAAGGTAGATCGATTCTGAATACTTTGATACAAACTGTTTGTAAGATTTCAGTTATGTTCTTTTAGTTGGTTTTTTCCCTATGACAGTGGAGTTTTGCAAGAAAAAAAATCACTAACGCTCTTCAGGGAAAGCACTACGAACTCTTCAAATGCTTGGATACATAACGGGGTTTGAATTAGGACACTAACCGCTGGGCTAGCAATACACCCACCTAGTTCATACTATGCTTAAAATAAAGATAGCAAGCTGGTTTGTGGTAAAGTGTGGGATTTTGCTCCACAAGATCCCGGGTTCAATTCCCACCAAACACTAACTGATAATGCCGTAACCTCTAGACCTAGTCTTAAAAAAGTCAATCCAGGTCTAGAGCCCAGCAAAACGTTTATGATACTAGGAGTCATTTTACACATACATTTTAGCAAAAAGTAATTTCCATTATATTTCAAACCCACAACACCTCTGTTTTACAACAGTTAATTCGTTTCAGCCGGTCTGAATTCATCCAATACAATTAGCATGCACCCTTTGTTTTGGCACGGGAGGCTTGAATAGGCTTTATGTTTACCATCGTGATTAAAAATAAGCAGACAGCCCGTGCTGGGCGGTTACCATGGGTAACGCCTGTGTATATAGCTTTGTTGCTTACAACGAACTGATTACAAAACAAACCGTATGTGGATTGACGATAATAAATACCAGCAAAACAACGAAATTAGATAATACAACCTACCAACCTTTGTAAACTAAGCAAATTGTCTTCTCTGAAAAAATTTCATTATTAGGAAACCAATCGGTATCAACTTTGTCTCAATTTTATGTTGTTTGTAATCAAATGGCTGAATTCGTTGTTAACCTGCGTTTGTTGTTACTATTTATCTGTTCTAGGCATAGAGATTACAAAGCGGTTTTGACTAGACATAAAAAATCAATTTAAATAATTCAATCTGAATTACTGTTATATTTCTTTCGTTAGCAACCAACATGATTTATGACAGAATAACGACTTGTTGTTCTTCGCTATATACAATATCATAACTAGTACTATTAAAACTAAACTGTAATATAAGTCGAGAATATGCAAGAGAGATTCATTACGATAGAATAGTTGTCATTTATATTATTATAATGAATTCCTCAATAATAAAAGCGTTATTAAACTTTAAATATTAGCAAAGAAAGGTTATAAAGGTTATTTTTTTATTAAACTGATCGAGGATGTAATATTATATTATTCTAAGACACTTTTATCACCTACTCAAAGACATTAACTCCATTTTATGGTGATTGATTTATAAAAATGAACATTTTGCCTAGATTAGTGGACACCTACGTTACGATAAACACCAAGTTAACTTGTGATATAGAAACAACTATACAATATCAGTGTATTGATATCACGCTGTAGGCGCACCTAACTCTGCCAAACTTAGCTACCGATATGCATGGGATGGAACTAACGCTACAGTTGGCGTATCAGCATTGATTAGACTCTCTACCGTGAAGCACATGTCCTATTGTTGTAGTAAGGTTGTGGTAAATTTGTGTCAGCTATGATTCAAGACAGACAAAATTGGTATATAACATCATAGTGCGTTCTATTTTATGCATATTACCGTAACGAGCAATTTTTTTCAGGACATTTCGCTTTAATTAAACGAGGAATTGCAAAACAGTTCGTCTTTAGTACTGATTTGCTTTAGGGAATAAGAACTTTACGTTTAAGTGTGACCCAATATGAATGAAACAACGTATGCTTTCATTCTTCACCCCCGATTCAACAACTGATGTATTTAGCATGCACCTTTGTACCGATGTTTTGTGTTACTTCTGGAAATTCTTGTTGGGTTTTTTGGGTAGGATGTAGCTTTGGGACTGAATTAGAGACAATGATTTACTGTAGTAAACGATTTTGCTAAGATGAGGCTATAAGGTGGCTCAAAGGTGAGGCTATACGGTGGCTCAAAGGTGAGGCTATAGGGTGACTTGAAGGTGAGGCTTTTAGGTGGCTCGAAGGTGAGGCTATAAGGTGACTCGAAGCTGAGGCTTTTAGGTGGCTCGAAGGTGAGGCTATAAGGTGACTCGAAGGTGAGGCTATAAGGTGGCTCAAAGGTGAGGTCATAAGTTGGCTCAAAGGTGAGGTTATAAGGTGGCTCAAAGGTGAGGTTATAAGTTGGCTCGAAGGTGAGGGTATGAGGTTGCTCGAAGGTGAGGTTATAAGTTGGCTCGAAGGTGAGGCTATAAGGTGGCTCAAAGGTGAGGCTTTTAGGTGGCTCGAAGGTGAGGCTATAAGGTGACTCGAAGGTGAGGCTATGAGGTGGCTCGAAGGTGAGGCTATAAGGTGGCTCAAAGGTGAGGCTTTTAGGTGGCTCGAAGGTGAGGCTATAAGGTGACTCGAAGGTGAGGCTATGAGGTGGCTCGAAGGTGAGGCTATAAGGTGGCTCGAAGGTGAGGGTATGAGGTTGCTCGAAGGTGAGGCTATGAGGTGGCTCGAAGGTGAGACTATGAGGTGGCTCGAAGGTGAGGCTATGAGGTGGCTCGAAGGTGAGGGTATGAGGTTGCTCGAAGGTGAGGCTATAAGGTGGCTCAAAGGTGAAGCTTTTAGGTGGCTCGAAGGTAAGGCTATAAGGTGACTCGAAGGTGAGGCTTTTAGGTGGATTGAAGGTAATGTTATAAGGTGGCTCGAAGGTGAGGTTATAAGTTGGCTCGAAGGTGAGGGTATGAGGTTGCTCGAAGGTGAGGCTATAAGGTGGCTCAAAGGTGAGGTTATAAGTTGGCTCGAAGGTGAGGGTATGAGGTTGCTCGAAGGTGAGGCTATAAGGTGGCTCAAAGGTGAGGTTATAAGTTGGCTCGAAGGTGAGGGTATGAGGTTGCTCGAAGGTGAGGCTATAAGGTGGCTCGAAGGTGAGGGTATGAGGTTGCTCGAAGGTGAGGCTATAAGGTGGCTCAAAGGTGAGGCTTTTAGGTGGCTCGAAGGTAAGGCTATAAGGTGACTCGAAGGTGAGGCTTTTAGGTGGATTGAAGGTAATGTTATAAGGTGGCTCGAAGGTGAGGTTATAAGTTGGCTCGAAGGTGAGGGTATGAGGTTGCTCGAAGGTGAGGCTATAAGGTGGCTCAAAGGTGGCTCGAAGGTGAGACTCTGTCTTGTTTATGCTTAGGCCGCTTCATCACATAAAAAATGAATGTTTATTAATTCTTAGATTAATTAAAATAAAACTAACTTGTAAAGAAATGAAACGGAGGTGTCGGGTACATCATGTCCTGATATTTGAGTCCTATTTCTCATTTTATTTCGTCAAGATTTTTCTTAAGACATTTTGGAGAAAACAAATTCAATATTTCCATTTCACTTAAACAAAAACTTTAGTCCAACAGGTAAAGACAAAAGCGTCTGCACAGTTGTGAAAATGAGAAATATTTACGTAAACAAACGTATCCCCAAGAGAAACCCCACTTCTTAAAAACAGTAAAACTACCTCATAAGCTAAAACCTTGGTACTCCGTTATAATTATTCAGCCAAATTGTCAACCGAGTGTATTGTGTTGTGATGAGCTAGCGACGTGTATTGTGTTGTGATGAGCTAGCGACGTGTATTGTGTTGTGATGAGCTAGCGACGTGTATTGTGTTGTGATGAGCTAGCGACGTGTATTGTGTTGTGATGAGCTAGCGACGTGTATTGTGTTGTGATGAGCTAGCGACGTGTATTGCGTTGTGATGAGCTAGCGACGTGTATTGTGTTGTGATGAGCTAGCGACGTGTATTGTGTTGTGATGAGCTAGCGACGTGTATTGTGTTGTGATGAGCTAGCGACGTGTATTGCGTTGTGATGAGCTAGCGACGTGTATTGTGTTGTGATGAGCTAGCGACGTGTATTGTGTTGTGATGAGCTAGCGACGTGTATTGTGTTGTGATGAGCTAGCGACGTGTATTGTGTTGTGATGAGCTAGCGACGTGTATTGTGTTGTGATGAGCTAGCGACGTGTATTGCGTTTGTTTATGAGCTGAACATTAGAGGAAGAGCAAGTGTAATAATTGTTGCTTGGGTGTGTGCGCTGTACCGTGTGCACCCTTCAGCTACAATCTCAACCGAAAATGCTGATTGTTGTTTGTGTTTGTACAACAACAAAAAAAAAAAGAAAAAAAATGCCCCTGACTTATTTTGGTGTTTATATTTTTTGGAAGCTTTTAAAATGTTTAAATACTTCTATTGGAGCTGTAAATGTAAATTTTAACTATGTAAAAATCCAGTTACGAACATTTTGTCGAATTTTGGGCTACTTTGAAATTAAACTGCTCATTACTAATACCAGAGTTTACTTCAAAAAATTGTGTTTAGAGATGGTATTTTTTAACACCTCCAGACCCTCCTTGAAGCTTGAATTTTATTCCGAACTGATTGGAGTACCTAATTTATAATGTCTTTATCCTAAAAAATTGGATATGCGTAAGCTGTTATAATTGGCGTGTGCCTCTAGGATGTGAAGCTGCAACATTCTGACCAGCTTCAGAATGCTTAAAGATCTTAAGACAAATAATTCTCTACACTTATGTAGGAGTGTAGACTTTAACAATACCGTATTCATATTATACATTCTATGGTAAATCAAATTATAATAACACTAAATAGTAAACTTTAATTATTGACCTGTACAAAAGCTAAACAATTGGCTATTTCACTACAGCTAGATAATATTTGTAAAACTCTCTATCACAAACGGGTACAGTATAGGCTGGTTTAGGGGAAAATTATTTGGCTTCTTATTTTATTTGCAGTTTATATCCTTGAAAAATGCACGATTGTACCAACCATATTTAAGAGCGATTTCCAGTTTTTGGTTTGTTGTAAACTGTCGTTCACACGCGACATGCGGGCACCGCTATTTACTTCAAAGGATTTGGAGTGGTCAATTACATAGCCAGCGTTGTGGCTAAGCTTTACTAAACGAATGTGCTAATTTCCTAACTGCTAGTAATGCAATTCAATTCGTGCTATTTTTAAGGGATGAATAGCCGCTATGGTCCAAATAACTATTTTATGGATTGTTAAGAAACGCAGTAGACTCATGTATTTTGAAATATAAAGAATGTTTTTATTTGTTGAAAAATTAATTTTAGTCAATTTCCATTCCTTAAAACAATAAAAAAGGGTCTAGACTGTTAATGATGATAAAATATAAGTTTTGGGGTCGATTTGAGGAGTTTATATGGCTTTACTTGGGTTTATTTATTAACTTACAATAGCAATTAATTGTTGTACACAAACACAAAGGAATTTTAAAACATCTGGTTGCAACTATTCTCATTGGGTGGTTATTTTCCGAGGAAACAAAAGTAAAAAATGAAAAATCTACACATAACTTACTAATTAGATGCGTAGCTATAAAAATTCATAGTTTTCTTATTGATCAAAAGTAAAAAGATTGATTTCATTCTTAGCTCACCAAACTATTGATGGCAGTAGACGAATTTTCCTTACTTTTTCAATCCAACACATTCCAAAAAGAAGGGTATTTTCAAATCTGCAATTATTTGTTAAAACTCGAAAATCAATTAGGGCTGATCCAAAATGTAGATAGAACATAACAAAAGGAAACACACAAAACTTACTGAATAGTAATATACAAGCAGGTTTCCACACATGATTGATTTTAGCCACGAACACAGAGTAGCAATAACTCAAATTACCCAGAACACACACCCCACCTACGTATCCAATATTTGTCGTCTGCTAGTGACATCACTTTGATCCTCTATTTCGTCCCCAATCCACCCACATCTGCTCTGTCTCTACTTGTGTGGGGTTGTTCTACATAATAGTTTCTGGTGAATAGGACTCTATATACAGGGTGTTTTTTTAAAAACTAGCATCTTTATTTATGTAAAAACCGCAATAGATAGAAATATGCAGTTTGCGGGAATGATCTATTGACGTAGGGGGCCCAATTATTTTGAATTCTACGTTACATTCACATTCCCCCCTTCCCCCTGCCCCCAACTTAATTTTTTTAAATAGCAAGGTACCCCTTGTGACATATCAAATAAAAGAGCATAAAAAAAGAAAATGTTTGATGAAAAAAAAATTGAAAATCGGTTCATAAATTTACGAGATATCCCCCCCCCCGCCTTGGAACTTAATATTTTTAACATCAAAGTATCCATTGTGACATATCAAATGAAAGAGCATGAATAAAGAAAATTTTTGGTGAAATTTATTTTTCATTTGATATGTCACAAGGGCGGGTACCTTGCTATTAAAAAACCAGTTATGGGTAGGGGAAAAGGGGGGGATTATCTCACAAATTCATTAGCCGATTTTAAATTTCTTTTCACCAAAAACTTTTTTCATGCTCTTTCATTTGATATGTCACAAGGGGTACCTTGCTATTAAAAAAAATTAAGTTCGGGGGGGGGGGAGGGGGGGAATATCTTACAAATTTATGAACCGATTTTCAATTTTTTTTCATCATACATTTTCTTTTTTCATGCTTTTTTATTTGATATGTCACAAGGGGTACCTTACTATTGAAAAAAATTAAGTTGGTGGCAGGGGGGGAAAGGGGGGGGAATGTGAATGTAACGTTGAATTCAGAAAAATTGTGCCCCCTACGTCAATAGATGATTCCCGCCAACTGCATACTTCTATCTATTGCGGTTTTTACATAAATAAAGATGCAATTTAAAAAAAAACACCCTGTATACTTTTATATACAATAATGTGAGAGAGGTTCGGTTTTTATACTTTCTATGCTCAATTAATATTTTGATATTATTAGTCATCAATTTAATAGAACTATACCGTATATAGGATGCTATAAAGTTAGTTAAATTAATAAGTGTTAAGTCAAACTTTTTTGGCACATTAATGTACAGTATGTTCTTATGTTCTAATTTAGTTCTAAGTATCTTTTTAGTTGAAATGTTGTATATTTCAGTGAAAAGATAATTTAGTTTCTTTGGCTTCCCTTTATTTTATGTTAGTCATTCGTATAAATTTCAAATGTAAGGAGGGACGTTAGTCCACTATTGACAAATGTTACTATTTTCATTATCGTAATGTTAGTATCAAGTAAGTAAAACATGAACCAAGTGTAACGTATTTACTCACAAAAAATGACAAGTTAGTAGTACATCAATCTTTCCAGTGGGGATCTTCCGAGCACTAAGCAACTTTCGTTCATTCCTAGCCGGGAGATCTGACAAGCAGATCCACCGACCTTCCCCCTATCCGCCACCCAGGGGACGCCCCGTATACGCTGAAGTAAGAAAGCGCACGGATAATTTATTACTATGTAATAAAATATTTCCAGCTGGGAAAAAAAAAACTTTTATTCCAAAGAAGACTGATCACCTTCTTTAATAAAATCTAGTTGTTCAGCATGCAAACAACGTTGGATAATTTAAAATCCTAGCTGGTGACAATTACATACTCCCTACCCTGTAGATAAGAGTCAAAGAGACAAAGTCCCATAGGGTCAGCAGTTGGTGACCAGCTGATATCTAACCAGGTTCAATCCTGAGCATAGACAATCCTGTAGTTGACCAGTTCTACATGTTCCTTGGACCAGCAAAGAACCTTGAGAAGACCTTCTACACTACAGTGGAACTTCAAAAATTCTAAGAAGATTTTTAGAGGTGAGCAGGTGTCCAACAAATATTATTTTGCTTTGGCTGACAAAAAGTTCATTTACATCCAATTAGGCCTCAATTTACAGTTTTCTGATAAATTAAAAGTTAAACTGTCGATTTGCTCTGCTATAAAAAAAAAATAAGTTTGCCCTAATAATTAATTTAAGTTCTCAAAAAGGTCTATTAGTCTCTAAAATATATGTTCATCTTTTTATGTTACTTTAAATTTAACTGTACAAAAATACTGTATTTGTGAAATAATTCTTTAAAAGTTGAGATTGTTCCCATGTGATTAGTTTTCATGTTTAAACCTTCAATATCATGCAATGTTGAAATCCTAAAGTAAAGTTTTTATAAAATCATAGAATATTTAATTGTTGTAATAACCATCCTTGTTGAGAAATATTAAATTTGTTCACAACAATTTTTGTTTAAATAAAAAAATGATTTTCTGTAAATTAATATTTTTATTGAGCTGTTGTACATTAAATTGAATTTTGATTTAATGATAGGTGTTAGTTGTTTTGAATGTCCAATAAAAAAAAAAATGTAAATTGTTAAATATGAAATATTACTTTGAAAATGTCTATTTGTCATCTAGCTATTTCTTGTGAATACAATTTAATGAAAATGTTAGTCCCTCTCTAGCCTATCACAAAGTAGATTATGGTTACAATTTATCAAATAATATGTTATATGTTTAAAGTGTTTATTTTGTCAGTCAATGTAATATTGTGTAGTTAAAGAATATTTTCTCTGTGGTAGATAAACAAGTGCATATATTAATTAATGAAGTGGCAGTTAAACCAAACTAGTATATCAATGAGTTGATTAGCAAACAAAATCTTAATACTAGTATTTTTGAGTCAAAAAGAAAGTTTATTTTGGTTCTAGTGATTCACAGTAATTATGTTTAAATCTTGAATTAAATGCTTGAAATTTCACACTAGTAAAAGTAAAAGTAGTTTATGTTTTATGTTCAAATGTTCTATTTTTAAATGGTCTATGTTAAAATGGTTTTATAATTCAACTGGTATGTCAAACTTTGTTACAATTTAGTCATGTTAGAGTGAGAAGTATGTTGTGGTAATATATGTTATACATTTTCATACAAAAAAAACTTCATTACTATGGCAGAGTTGTATTAAAGTACAGTACATTTTATTAGGTATCTGTACACAAAAAAAATTAACAGATTTAATTTCATAAAGTGAAATAATTTTACCAATGTTCTGATATGAGTTAGATAACGCCTTGAACCTGTTTTTATCTTTGAAAAGAATTTATCTTTGTGTCATAAGGAAATGTTCTTGCTGTATAGTAACTGAAACTGATTTTGTGACTTTAATATTTTTTTTTATTCTTATATTTTGGAATTAAGTGTAACAATAGGGCCCAAACTATAAAAGTGGTACCATGCGCAGGGTCTTTTGTTCCGGATCTTGAGTTCTGGCTGATGTGCTGTGGACTACACCATTGTTGGACCTGGAGGCTACTATTGAGTCACCCACTTACACCTCACTACTGTCTGCACCTGACCTACCTTTTTGTACCTCTACTGGACTCTTGGTTTTTGGGTGGAGTCAAGCGCAACCGTTTGTCTGTGCGGCTACCGTAAAATTTGGTTTGTTTCTGAGCTCAGAGATATTTCTACAAATCGGTGAGTGACTTTTCAACTATTATTTCTACGTGTGAACTTTTGATCCAGGACCTGTGCGTATCGTCATATTCTAGGTGTGAACTTTTGATCCAGGACCTGTTTATTGTATCGTCTCAGCGGATGGACTGTTGTATTAATGTAAAATAAGTATTTATTGATATTAGGCCTATGTTTTGCTAATTGTTACAGGTATTTCTCTATAGATATTGATATATATATTCCTGATGCTTTCTTAGGAAAAATTAATAAATAAATAGCTGCATACTTTAACAGTATAGTTTGTTTTCCTGGCAGATCGACACTTTAACATTTACGTTAAGAATTTTGGTTACCTGCTTACTAATCTAACTGACCCACCACCCTGAACTAGCTGAGCTAGCCAAAGTTAGGTTGTGACAGCCCAAGAGAAATTGTTACAAATAGCGCCCTGAACGTGGGACCCTTACAAACCCTGCATCTGTGCCCTTAAAAAAAAAAAAAAAAAAAAAAAAAAAATAATAATAAATCTGTTGATATTTAGGATATAGTATTCTTGGTTGACCATTGAGGATTGAGACACATAAACTTATCTTCTACTGGCAAGTTAACCTGAACTCAGCTATTGAACTATTTGTTAGATATTGATAAATATTTTGGAAAATTGAACTTGTATATATTTTGTGTTGTATGGTCTTGTATATATTATGTATTGCCTTAAGGGAAATTCTATGTTGAACTGTTGATGAGTTTGTCTGTTCAAATATTTAATTTGATATATTCCATAAAGATGAGTGCTTACCACTTGCGCAAAACTGAGGTTGAATATGAACTTAAAATTAGGGGACTTTCTTCAGAAGGTACAGCAGCTGACTTAAGGAAACGATTGTCTCAGGCATTGTCAAGTAATACTCTTGTTGACGATGATGCTGTTAAAAGTTTGGATGCTGAGCTAGAATTAGAGGAATGTGAAGCCAAGTTTCTTGATTTATCATCATTATTGGCAGATTATGAAGGTAATTTCAGGGATAATGAATTCCAGCGGCTTACTGCAAGACTGTGGCATCTTTACTACCGTATCGAAAGAATTCAACCTGCTACTTCTACTGATGTGGACCTTGAACAACGGAAGCTGGAACTTTTGAGAAAAACTAAAGAACAGTTGGATTCATTCACTGCAACAAGTTCTAAAGACACACCTCCTGTTCTGCCTAGCCAACCTTGTACTGGAG